CTTAATCTAAGTTAATAGAATTTTTATAGAAATAAGTTAATCTAGGACTAAAGATCGCAAAGAATCTTCAGGATAAGTTTCCATTATTGCTGTAGCGCCAAAATTAAACGGTATCGCTATGCCACCATCGAGAACTATACTAGCATCATAACACTGTGATCTTACTGTTAACTTATTACAAAATTTTCGGTGATGAATAGATTTTGGTACAGGCCACAGATCATTTACTATCATATCTCTTACAACATAACATAATTTTGATTCCTCTAAAATATGTTATACATAGAAATAATTATTTTGTGATAATTGTTTATATTTAAATAATATTATACTTACCTGCATCAAAATATAAGCTATTGTTAAAAGTAGAACAGATTTTATCAATTTCTTCATTAGTAAATTGCTTCTCGTTATTTAAAAGAGTCAATATTTCTTGTACTATTTGCGGATTAACGCTATTTATTGATTTATACCATGATGTTGATCCTGTTCCTGTAGTAATACATAAACCAGAGCTTTTCACCAAGTGATATTTATTTTCATCATCAATACTTATAAGCAATGAACTTGTTTTAGCAGAAAGTGTTTCTGCTATAAATACCTATATGTGAAAGAGATGTTAAATTCTAAATTATTAAAAGATATATGATGCATTTAATGAAACTTACTTCATTTAATGCTAACCAAGGCAAACGCCTTACTTTTGGTAAATTACTTGATACTTCATTTTGCTCTCGCATATAAAATCTGCAATAATGAAAAATTTTTTTTTAACATATAATATTTTATATTATAAATTAATTAAATTAATTACGTAATAATAAAATTTATTACTTTTCTCCATCTGCAATGCGACCTTTTTCGTGTGTATGAAAAGGAACATCCCAAATATTATCTCCCTTTATCGTAGTACGAATTCTCCGTCTCATTATTACTTTATAATAACCTGCTCTTAACATTTCGAAAATTTCAGATATACTTTCTGTATATTTCATTGGTGACATAAGATATCCTTCGGATTTTTCCGGACATGAATTAATACCAATTATTGGTTTTTTGTTATCAAATATCATATTCGATGCCAATAAAAATGTACCATCGCCACCGATTGGAAGAATTAGATCCGCCCAAGCAAAATTCGAAGCTTTTAAATTTTTCCTTAAAAATTAATATTAATATTGTTATTAATAATATTATCATTTTTTTCTTTTCAATAAAAGATTTCTTCGAAAATTATATATACCTATTTATTAGTTTATATTCTATATTCAATTTTTTTAAAATTTCAGTTACTTTTTTTTTTACATTTTCGGTTGCTAAATGACTAATCATCATAGAATCATAATCAGAACCTCTTTCTTTTAATTTCTGTTTGAATTGTTCTTCATTCAAATTTGGTTCTCGTATTTTTTCAAAATAATATCGCGATAACTTTACTACAATAAGTATTCGTTTTGGTACAAAACTCGATTCATTTCGCAAGAATAATCTGAAATTATTAACATATACATTGTTCTTATGTGGTTGTAAAAATTGGACAGCTCCTGAAAAAATATAAAATATGAATTAAATCATTAATTAATCTTTTACAAACATTGAAATAAAAAAATAATAATTTGAAATAATAATAAATTATAAATTAATTTTTTTCGCGTGTTTATCATCATGTGTTATAAAAATATTACGCAATATGTTATATTATTTGTAATATATGTATATTACAAATAATCAATTATTAATTTAATAATAAAAAATTATTTATATAAAGTTGATTTATTTATTAAATTTTCAATTATTTTATTTATTATCACATGTTTTATATTTTAAAATATATTTTAAAAATATTTTAAAATATATTTTATTTATTATAATTTTTAAAAAGAATTAAATTATTCTATAATCCATTATATTGCGTAAAATTTTTTTTATTTTTATTATTATATTTTTTATATTTTACATTCAAAGTACTGATATAGCGATATATACTCTGATATTAGTTTATTGATATACAAAATATACTTTGATTGTTCTATTACTTGAAATTATTCAAATTAAAATACATACTGAAGTTATTATTAAAATTTGTTTTTTGTTTTTATTGGAGCTCATTGACATTACGATCACGGATGTAATTCAACATTATGTAAAATTCACTTACTGACAGATCTTCGAAAATGATTGAGAGTCGTCATCGCATGCTTAAAAAAATGTGTATGTCAAATTCGTACAAATAATATTAAAAAAAGTGATATGTTAAGAACATTAAAATGTTCCTAACCTCTCTACCGGTACGAACAGTAGATACTATACAATCAAGTGCAATGTTTGCATTCACTCTATGACTATAGAAATAAATCTCGAATAAAACTAGTATGGCGACCGCGGAAAATATGAATGCGAGTATAATTTTTGTTTCCATTGATAAAATAATAATTTCTTAATTAATTAAAGTAAAAAAGAATAAAAATATAAAATAATATTATAAATTATAATAAAAAAAGTGATTCTATGTTTCTTTCTGTTTGTGAATGAAAAAATATGAATCATTTCAATAATCTTTGTTCTCAAAATTCAGTAATTGAAATAATTTAGAAAGAAAAAATTTCACTGTACAGATACACGCTTCGCTTACACTTTATTAATTCATTTGCAATACATTAATTAAGTCTGTTTAAATAGCATCAAGGCTACCTAACGTATGCCTTCGTTTATACTATAGACAATCATCTAACTTAAACACACACTCTTTTTGTCTTTCGATAATCTTTCGTACACTCTCATTCTCTCGTTCTTCCGTTCTTTCTTCGTATTCTCTTTCTCATTTGCGCTGTTTCTCATTTCTCTTTAATCTGTTCCATTATCGATATCATTTATCGTTATTGTTATTACCATTGTCATTATCATTATACCATATAATATATCATAAGATCGACGTTAAAAACTAAAATTCGTATAAAAAGCGTCGTTATTCATACTAACAATGTAACTGTACTATTTAAATAATAATTGAATCTTAAAAAATTATTTGTTCTTGTTGTTGGTGGTAGTGTGTTTGAATGTATGAGATGTTTAATGCATCGAGTATAATACGAGGATGCAAGGCGTGCATAAAGTGACACATGTATTTATGCATACATTTATGTCGATTTATATTCTAAGAACTTCGGTAAGATCGCGAAATGCCCCGACATTGCGCTCACGTATCAAATTATACAATATATATCTTTTTATATCATTTATCATTATGAGAAATAACGATTGTTTTAAAAAATAAAAAGCGTATGTTGATGATTTATAGAAATATAAAATTAACAAAAAAAATATAAATTTTTACATATTCATGGTATTTGCAAATGAAGAAGTCATAATAAAGAAACGCGCGATTTACTCGTTACGATCTTACCGCTATCAATTGTTCTTAGATTATATCAGGATGTTAATACATCCATTTTGCGTATCCAATTGCATCTCGCATATTTTTTTTTTTTTTTAATCATCTTTCACATTGTAATCGTTTTCACACGGCATTTTATAATCTAGCTAATACTTTTACATACTACGAATGTTTAGCACATATCACTACGGCCGAACCAACTCTCTCTCTTTCTTACGTACGCTCTTTCTCTCTTTCTCTCTCTCTCTTTCTCTCTCTCTCTCTCTCTCTTTCTCTTTTCTTTAACCTTCGTTATTACATAACTATCCGCTATTACGAGCAATAATGTACATCAATTACATAAAAAACAAGATATCATTGTGTTAATCGTCTCAACGTCACGCGATGGTCACATTTGCGAAGGTACCGCGGTTTATCAATTAATCCAAAACTTACTACCGACACCATCATTCATACGTAGTAGGTTCTTACAACGCCCTGATGCACGATATTCGTTTCGAAACGTGTTTGGGTTGTTGTTCATCATCCCGGGTACACTGCATGTGAGATATTACATTATTATAATCCTATCGAAAAATCGAATATATCGCTTAAAAAACTGACGTATTATTACGAACAATTAAATGAGGTCCTGTTTGGAACTCGACGGATAAAATTCAACGACGCTTACATT